TACAGGTGAAAGTACAGGTAGAGGTCGGATATTAAAAAAAAACAGCTCTAGCATCCCAGAATTTGCCTTCTTCTACAGTGATCTATAAACCCAGCCAAAAAACAGATTTCATGCGTGTTGAAAGACTCGCCAAAAGAAAAAGAAATCAATATTCTAGTGAGAGCGATACAAGTAACGAATGTAGTGATACTTGTCCGGTAAAACAGAAGGCAGTCCACAGAGATGTGCCTTGGTGGAACGGGCAGCTGAGACGTCTGAAACAAGATGCTAGAAAACTGTTCAACAAGGCAAAAACTAACGGCAACTGGGCAGACTATAGAACAGCCCTAGACAAGTACAACCGTGAATTAAGAAAATCAAAAAGGAAATCATGGAGACAACTCTGCGAGGGGATTGCCGAATTAGCCCCAGCTCAACGTCTCCAAAAAGTTCTTTCAAAAAACCACTCAAACGGAATTGGTCTGCTTAAAAAGCCAAACGGAGAACACTGTACCGACCATATAGAAAGTCTAGAGGTACTACTACAACACTTTCCAGGTTCGGTAATCGTTGAAGCCCTGAACCAGGTCACTCCGCCTATCGAAGGGCCACAAAGCCCTAACGGCAGGAGCAAAAGGCTGGCTGGGAACATCTTCACAATGAACAGAATAAAATGGGCGATCGATAGCTTCAGACCCTACAAATCTCCAGGCAAAGACGGGATTTTTCCCGCACAACTGCAAAAAGGCTACGAGTACTTAAAGGCACACCTACAAAAGCTCTTTGAGGCAAGCCTGCTCCTAGGGCACATACCGACATCTTGGAAGGAAGCTAATGTGATATTCATACCAAAAACGGGTCGCCGAACCGAGGACGAACCAAATTCATATCGTCCCATAAGTCTAACCTCCTTTCTCCTTAAGGCAATAATGGAGAAAGCAATCGACCAGTACATCAGAAGCGAAACTCTATTGAGAAGACCGCTCTACCCGAAGCAATTTGCTTATCAGCCAGGAAAATCCACAATAAGTGCTTTACACTGCCTGGTTAAAGACATTGAAAAGACAATCGAGTGCAAAGAGATCGCTCTCACAGCTTTCATCGACATAGGGGGTGCCTTTGACAACACCTCACATCAATCAATCGCCAGAGCATTGCAAGAATGGGATGTTGAAGTTCCAATTGTAAAATGGATAGAGTCGATGCTGAAACACTGTCACGTTACGGCTGAAATAAACGGAGCATCAGCTACCGCTACAAGGGGGTGTTCTTTCTCCACTACTATGGACACTGGTGGTAGACAAAATTCTTACCAGATTGAGTAGTGCTGGATACCGGGTCATAGGCTACGCAGGTGACCTAGTCATTGTAATCAAGGGCAAACATGAAGGCGTAGTGACAAGCCGAATGCAAACTGCCGTAAACATCGTTAAAAATTGGGGCGAAGGCGAAGGATTATCCCTAAACGCAAACAAAACAATCCTTGTCCCGTTTACAAGAAAAAGGAGGCTAAATCTGAAAGCCCCAACCCTTAACGGTACACAACTAACATTTTCCAACGAAGTGAAGTACTTAGGGGTCACCCTGGACCGAACCCTCACTTGGAACAAACAGTTAAAGAAAATATGCTCTCGAGCTACATCAGCCATTTGGTCATGCCGAAAACTTGTTGGCAAAACATGGGGGCTGAAGCCAAAGATGGTATTCTGGATTAACCAAACTATAATAAAACCCATGGTCACATACGCCTTATTGGTGTGGTGGCCCAAAACACAACAAGTCACTGCTCAGATGAAGCTCAGAAAGGTGCAAAGGCTGATATGTCTAGGAATAACGGGAGCAATGTCAACTTGCCCCACCGCAGCCTTAGAGACGCTACTCAACATGCCCCCACTTCATCTATGTGTGAAAAAGGAGGCAATAACCAGCGCTCACAGGCTATTCCAAATAGACCATTCAGTTATTTTGACCCAAGTAATGGAAAAGAAACTAGCGTATAACCAAAAACTCCATTTACTCTTTGTAAATCTAAAACTTTGGGAAGCACTAGAAAAGATCAATATCAACTTAGAGCTTATATAAGCAGTAAAAATACTCTATAGTGATGCAAAGACGAAGATTAAACAGGGAAGCATAATCAGTAAAGGCTCTACAGCAACTAAAGGACTTAAACACGGATGCTGCATATCACCAACACTTTTTAAAATATACTCAGAACAAGCATTTAAGGGGTGGAAAAACAAATGCAGACACATGAGAATACCGCTCAATGAATAACAAAATATATACTTTAAGCTTTACAGATGACCAAGTATTAATTGCACAGGACTATGATGATCTAGAGTACATGACACGTTAATTGATAGAGGAATATGAGAAATGGAGTTTGGAAGTGAATCTAACTAAAACAGAATATATGACTATAGGAGAAGAACAACAAACTCTGAAATTGAATAACGGACAAGAAATAAAACAATAGGCGTATTCTTTCGATCTGAACAAACTGATCGAAATCACTTGAGGTTTGTTTCAAACAATTTTCATCCGGTGTTACAACAATTTCATTGGCCCCAGCTGTTTTTTTGACGCCTCATGTGATTACAATCAGTTTGTTCAGATCGAAAGAATACCAGGAATGTACTGAATACAAACATTTGGGAATGAAAATCTCACATGAGGGAACCGTAGACAAAGCAATTAAAGATCGGAATATACAAGGACGCAAGGCAATATCCCTACTAAATGGTGTACTGTGCCACCAAAATATCAACAAAACTAACAAAACTAGAATATACAACACCATGTTCAAAAGCATAGTCACATATATTTCAGAGCTCTGGCCACTAAAGAATAGAACCGCAAAAATTCTGGAAACAACTGAAATGGACTTTTGGAGAGTTGCAGGCAGGTCAAAAATGGAAAGGATAACAAATCTGAGAATTAGGGAGATTATAGACGTTAAACACACATTAGTGGATGATAAAGAGGACAAACAGTTGATTTGGTTTGGACATGTACAAAGAATGGCAGATACAAGAAAACCCAAGCAAATTATTGAGTGGAAGCCAGGGGGAGAAGAAGACGCGGCAGACCAAGAAGAAGCTGGAGAGGTGGAGTAGATGAAATATGAGAGACAGAGGCTTAGAGGAGAAAGCCCGGTTTGACAGAGATGGTTGGAGATCGGGAATCGGAAGACGTAGAATGTTATAAACCGATTTTATATTAATATATGATATTTTTTGACGCAGATACATGAATGAATGAACAATAGTTTGCAAGATTTTAGTCAGATTATTAAATAAATTAATAAATAAAAATGAAAAATTTCAACAAAAAATCACGTGACCGAGAACGCCCTCTCATTGTTTAAAGCAGATATTTATTTAAAATGCGAAATTTAAATTATACCTATTGTCCGTCGATTTTAATCTGATACTTTCCGTATGAGGAGCGAGTGGGCGAAGCATATGGCAAACACGGGTATGACGTCAGGTGACCATTGGCGTTCTAATGTAGGGAGCCACCAGCTCAAATTCCTTTGGAGTATCAGATCAAAATTGACGGACTGTATCCTTTATTTTTTCATAACATAGTAAATGACGAAAATAGTCTATAGGCAATGAGTGGTGTAATGATGTACTAATGAGAAATTTGGCATCCACGCATTTTCACATCTGTGGCGTCACACGCCGGTCCAGCGTTTTCTTGCCAGTTTAAAAGTTTTTGAGTATTCTACTCGAGCAAATCTGGTTATACTTTTCCAAACACGTCAGGTGCCGCCTGAAGGTGGTCCAGGTCTTATATCCAAAGAGAAGTCTTGGTATGATGATGACATTGCAGACTACGAGTTTAGTCTGGACACTTTAGACAGTATATAATTTCCACATCAATAAAGTGTGCCTATATCAAAATATTTGAAATTTAAATGAAGAGTAATTTTATGAGATTTGAAAAAAAAAATCTTCCAAGAGTTTGGTTCTTACTATGGTTTTATCTCTGGTTTTATGTTCGGTTTTACGGACCTGTTGTTGCGTCGAGGCTCTGGTCTGGCACTCCTGGGTGTCCTGTTCTCGGTGTCGGTGTATTTTTTGGGACGATGGGTCGGCTTTCTGCTTTGGAAGGCCTCCCTAGGCATTTTGGGGTATTCCTCGATAATCAGCAACCTAATAGTGATGCTGGCGCCCTGTTTTTGTTAGCCTTCGGAGGCGGGAAGAGTCCCCAGTCCCTACGCAGTGATTGCTCCCATGACTCTCTCATGTCAACCCAGGAAAGTGGTTGGGTTGCGCGTTCGTGTAATCAGAAATTGATGTGAGGTTTCAAGTCTCACTTATTATTGCAGCTTAATGGCTGAGACTGCATAAGTATAAAATTTGCAGATGGGCTAGATATGCGAATAATTCTTTGATTTCCAATTGATTTTTTTTTCGTTGGCATATTTCCGCGACCAAGGCTAATCGGCGACCCCAGGGAATCTGGAAATTTTACCGAAGCCATCTTTGTCGATGGTAGGGATTTTTTTCGTGCATCACATCACGGGATCAACAGTTTAACGTGGCTTTCCGAAAGATGGCGCGCTTCTTTCCTGATACCAGATTCCAAAGCTTAACATCGACGTTGACCGGCCCAGGGATTGAACCCGAGACTGCATGGCAAGAGGCAGGAACGCTATCCTAGACTCTAGACCACAACGCCGATCTACCTAATCCCAAACTATTGAGTTTTCCGTGCGGTCAGTTAAACATAAAAGCTTTCCTAAAGCATCCGGAGCAAATTTATTCAAGCCATGGTTGGAACTAGATAATCTGAGAGGAAGTAGGCAGAACTTTCTCCTTTAGGCAATTTTTCCTTATTAGTCAACATGCTAAAAGTGAAAATATCGCATATTATCTGGTCAAGTATCTAGTTTAATACACTAAAACTCGAACCAATGATATGATAATTTCAACCTAAAACTAAGTGAATTTGTCAATATAGTTTTCAATATGAAAGGTAAATATGTAATCTTCTTCGTGAATGAGATCAGTGTATTGTTCCTAGCAGTTAGCAGAATGTTCTTGGCGCTCTTTCAGTGCCGTTAAAGCGTTCAACTTCGTAACGGCATTATGATTATTTTTAGAAAAGTAGTAACAGTGTTGTGTGTCGGTTTGGTGTTTACTTGGAATATTCATCATACTGATGGGATTCTAAGTAATTACGTTAATCCATACTTTCATTTTCCGTACGGAGCACCTTATATGGGGGTAAGTTATTTCGCAACCTAATAATATCAATATTGTCACTAGCAATTCGATGGTCCTTTCGAAAATGTGAGGTAAAATAAGAATGTAACCCTTACATTGCATTATGTAAACCTCAATAGTTTTTGAGATACATGTAGGTATATAACTGTCTATTCAAAAACAGTTTGTACGCATGTTACGTTGATTTTTTTTTTAAAATAAATGATATATTTTCATCGTTGATTTTTAAATTTTATTTTTTATATTTGTAGGGGCGTAGGTACGAGTGATTAGGTTTTGGAGACTTTTTAAATTCTTGGCCATGTCACTCTACTACTCGAAAGGAGCAATAAGTTTCGAATTAAACACTTCTGTGTATAAATAGAGTGAGCCAAAATAAACCTTGGAAATCTACACACTTGACAGTTTTATGGCCCTATTTTTGACACTAATGGATAACAAACTATCATCACAGAGAATTTGCTGGATTGCTTCTTTTATTTAGGCTTTGAAATGAAATATTGAATAATAATAATGTGATCTGTTAAATGTATCATACAGAACCTTGGGATTTCATGCATTCACTGCACATAATGTCCTTTTCACTTGACATAAATACTTCCGGATATTTCTTATTCGAAACGAAAAAACATAGTATTGAAAAAGTGGTAGAGTGAGAAAGAAAAAAAAATTTTATTTTTTTTTAAATTGTATACAGGGTGTCCAAGATAAGGATATCTATCATAGCGATCTCGTAAACGGTAACAGATACGGCAATGGTTAAATGAGAAAAAAGTTACGCTACTCAATGAATAACAAAATGCATCCAACTTCTAAAAAAATTGACAACAACCAGAGATATTCGAAAAAATAAAACAAAATTTTCCGAAATACGAGAAATTTCGGTTTTTCACGAATATCTTCGGGAGTTGTCAGCATTTTTTTTTTTGCATTTATATTTTAGTCATTAAATAGCGCAACTTTTTTTCCATTTGGCCATTTCCGTATCTGTTACCGTTTACGAGATCCCCATGATAGACATCCTTATCTTGGACACCCTGTATATTCAAAGCGGTCCAAAAATAGAAGAAAAAGCCAGTTAATAATATATATTTTTTTTATTTCTAGGGAATAAGTAATTTATTTATTAAAAAATGGCAACTAGATTCTCTGTTATGTAATGTAATATAAAAAATAATATGAGCCACGACAGCGTGCCTAATTTTCCACTGCTAAACCTAAATCAGTTTTTTTTTTTACATTATTTATTTTCCAAATTTGCTGCTAATCATAAATGTACAACTATGCATTTAACACGTATACCTATTTATGCATTTAACATGTTCAACATTTAATTAGATATATTTTATTTTGACAGTCTATTAGCGAATACTACGAAACCAAGAAATCACAAATGATAAAATACAAATACAGGGTAACGTGGACCCATTTTATTCTTTGACAAAATATAAATTAATTCCATGTAAATTCAGGTTTCTTATGTATATTTTTTTTTTTTAGATTCTTACAGCATTTGCAGTACCACTGAAAGTCCAAACACCAGGCGACATTTTCTTGTCTGTCAACTTTGAAGCTGCTTACAGCTTGCCAACAAATCAAACGGAATTTACATTTCCACCTGTTATTGCCGCATCAGCTCGACAGCTTCTTTACGAGATATTTGAAAGGAAACTAGAAAGGTGATAAATATAAATATTAAATTTGTGAGGTCGATTAAGTTACCCCCCCTCCACGAAAAATTTTCAGATGAAAAGTTATCTATAATTTTCAGTGTTACCATTTGATAAAAGTGAAAAGTCCTCCTGTTTGTTTTTCATCCTCCTTTATTGAACATGATTGAACAAAGACAAATTACATCAGCTGGTGATCGGGTACGCGCTTATTCCTTTCGAAAAGCATTTGTTGCACCACGCATCTCTTTCTTCCTTTTAAATCAGGGTCGACTAACACCGGAGCGGGTAGCTCGAGTGTTCCAAATTCTTGAAAGGAATACAACTATTAGAGGCTCTGGCACCTCTAACAACAACGTCAACAACCAACGAATCAACAACAACGGAACAGGAACAACGCCGATGTTGCCAAATGCAAAATTACCGTTTTCCATACGTATCTTAATTCAACTTTATCGATCGAACAAATTATATTTGGTCCATGAATGCATCTAGTTGGTGCTACAGATTTGTAGGCTTCTCCCAAAAGAAGCCAGCTTTTTGGGTTTAATGGTGTTCATTTCTTAGGACGTTAGACGTGGCCCTTCAAGTTCTTTTTTCCTCTTGCAAAACTAAGCGGGGTATTCACAGAGAGCAGATATTCTGCTGTTCCTCTTGCTTGTTCGCAAAATCCGCAGAATCCTTTATTTGCTTTGCCTATCATTTTGAGTCAATATTTCACTAGACATTTCCCAGTGAGAAGGCCGAAGAATGTTCTAATTTCTCTTCAGTTCATGTCGAGAAGTTATTCAGACCTTTTCGCAGAAATCGGTATGAAACTTTTTGCTAGTCTCAGACGCCTAGTGGACTCTAATCAGTTACCATTTTGTTCTTCTCAAATCCGTTCAGTTCTTCTATTAGGTGGCTCCTCATTAGTCCCCAGCACTGGCCCGTAAATCTGCTCTCCTGTGATGCCTCCTTCAAGAGCACAGGTATTTATAACAAGTAGTTCGGTCTGCAATATTATGGGCATTTTCTCATTGATAATGCTAAGATTTTGAAAAAAAAGGTCCAATTATTCCCTATTCGAATACCTCCGTCTCCGTTAGCTTCGAACCCTCTGCGTACCAAAGTGACGCGTTGTTCTCTTGCGGCAGTTTTATGTCCTTCCACAACTAGCGGTCCGTTACAACCATTTCAACTGGATTGTTTAAGTCTAGTGTCGCTGCAATTCAATCAGTTGCTTTAATTTGCCTTACGTCCTCAACTATGCGTAAGTGGCCATTCAGATTTATGGGTTAGTTCCTCCATCTGAAATAGCCTGTACTCGTGTCTCTTTTTTCAAGTATAGGAAAAGAGGAGATATGTGCAGTATTGCTCTAAGGCTGCTGTGCAGCAGTTTGACATAGCCACTGCTATTCCTAGACATCTCAGCCATTGTACTTTTGAAAATTTGTTCCGAGCAGTGGCTTACTCAGTTTCTGTCCACCAAACCAACGAGGCTTTAATGGTCATGTGGCTGACTAACGTTTGGTAGATACAATATACCGCTTTTGGATTTTGCTCCTCAATTTTTGCCCATCAGCTTGCGGCATGTCCAAATAGCCGCTGTGGCTCGTGAGATTATTTTGTTCAGATGGCTTTTCCAAGTAAGTTTGTGGTCCAAGGTGGCCTCAAAATATTCTGCTTCATCAGAGAAAAATAGTTGTGATCCGTTCAGAGTGGGTTTTCTGAGATCCAGCTTCCTTCGTTTTGTAAACTCCGTAAACGGAACTGAGGTGGTATGGGGGCTGGGATTTATGTATAGATCATCTTTCTTGCTCCAGATGTTGATCATGATCAAGGAACTTTGCATTCGACCTGTTACTATTCCTTCAGGCCTTTCTTTTACTATAACCGCCAGGTTATCTGCGTGGCTAACACTGTAGTGAATCTGGCTTTCCTTAGCATGGCCAGGATCATCATCTGCTATTATAACGTCCATATAGAGGCGAGAAGACACTCCATTGCTGCCATCTTTTAGCCGTGGTTATTGTAAAAGTTGTCAGTTCCATATCCGCCGTTACAGAGCAATTTTTTACCACGGCCTCTGTCCCTCCTATACTTGAGATTCTGCCCCCACTCGTCTCCTTACTTTTTTGATGAACCGGTGGTGGTTGGAGGCATAGAGGATTGTCGATAAAAGCTGCTAAATCGAAAACTTTTATCCCAAATGCATTTTCTATGTCTGTTACTACACAATGAACTTCGGTTGCTGTGGATTTGCCTGCTTGGTAACCGAATCATCATAAAAAAAGCCATCTCCTGTTTAGAATTTCGCTTCCTATCATATTGATTTATTGCTTTCTGCATAGTTTTGAAGAGAAGGGACGTTAGGCTGATGGATCAGTGAGATTTTGGTTCATGTTCTGGTTAGTGTCATGCTTTTGGTGTAGATGCTATGCCTCTATGGGCTCTAGGCACCTATGCACAACAAAGGCTAGATTTGAATAGTTTCAGGAGATGTTCCTTTAGGGAATCGAAACCATCTTGCAGCATGGCGGGAAAACCTTACCCAGGGAATTTTCATTTTGCGTGAAGCTTATTCCTGCCAGCATAGCTGGTTCCAGGTCTTTTTCACGATTGATCCAGAAATTTATGAGTCATCAGTAGGACCTCTAAACTTTATTTTCCTTTGTCATAGCACAGATTACCTACATAAAGATGAGAAAGTGCAGCGAATTCGTGGTTCAAGATTAATTTGATAGACATAGGCTGGCCGCACCAATGCCACATTAATGTATCATGAACATATTTATTTTATAAATGCGGAAGCCCAATAATATAATATTATTTCTTTAATTGGTTCACAAACAGCAAAAAGAATATATATATATTTTTTTTGTACCCGCAAAAATATGTAGACACAGGCTGGAATATGCTCACGCACTCGGCCACGTTAATTGTCCTGATGCGGGTGATCTTTATCTATGTGTGGGGGTGCTGGCAGCCCGGCTTCGTCACAGAATATCGTCGTCGGCAAGTATACGTACTAACGCATCTGTATTAGGTGATCTGTGATCGTAGTAGGGGTTTTCTAGAAGACCAATACCACTTGAGTGATTTTTTGTAAATATCCTGCTGAGACAAAACTGTCTCCATGCTCTTTTGGATTTTCTCAATGTACCCTGTTAGATGAGGAGGCGGTCACTGTCCCCCACCCCCCTTCCAGCGTCATGTTTCCTCAGCTCCTGGGAGAGGCTCTCAAAAATACCTCCTGAAGAATATGATTTCTGAAGATGTTGCTAGTTGAAAAATAAAAATTGCCTCAATCATTTATTTAATTGAAGCCTTGATGTAATCTTTTTGTCAAACGATCCTCATTGAATAAAAAATGTTGGGGCGGGAGGTGAAAGGAAGGACAAGTTTCATAGAAAAGAAAAGCTACATCTGGAACCGGTGTGGAAATTAACACACTGTTATCAACCATCGTAGCTCTACCCGTTATAAAATCTTCAAGAGATATATTGCGTGGGACTCTTGGCTACCAGATAAAGAAAATTTCTCAGTTACTGGGCGAGAAAGGGTAGCCCAGAGATGAAATTTTTATGAACATATTTTATTCTTCGACATTACATAATCATGTAATGTCATTCACTTGAAGTAGGTCCTCACATGGGTATTCCAAAAAAATATTGAGTTTCCACAATTACAAAAAACATGATCAAGCAAAACCCAAAAAATTACTAATATCACACCTACTACAAGTTTGTTAGATACTTGGTTGTTAGATTTTATCATATCCTATTTTTTAGCCATGGCTATCCAGGGCGACCTTGCCTACTCAGAGCAATATGTGAGGGAGCAGAGTTATCAACAGCTGGAACAGGAGTTCTAGGCGATATTGTTCATTTAATATTGACGTAAGTTTTGAATTTTTTTTTTTCAAATTCTAATTCTAGGAATAATTTATTTTCAACTTTATTACGCAGGTACCTACCTATTTATTAACAGTTAATTAGGTAACAACATAAACTACTTTGTGGAATAGTAAATATAATCTATATGATGAAGTAGTAAGATTCGAAACAAAACACCCAATTACCGTAAGGTGGCTAATGCTGTTTGTGTAGTTGCATTTATTGTCTATGCAGTTATTCGTGAACCAGTACACCCAACGCATTTTTCTTGCATGTAAATGAAATATTTGGGTGTTTTGTCGAGAGCCGAGGAGTTGGAGCTGTTAGACCATTAATTTAGCTAAACCAGAGAAAAGCTAGAATACCTATTCTGTGTTCTGTTTTTTTGTTCCCCGAAAGAATGAATGAGCACATTGCTAATGAACGAATAAATGAAAATCAATTTCGGCAAACATAATTTAGCACAATGTTACTCCACGGATTCCGGGTTCACTAGAACTCACTTCACTTCACAAACAGTAACAACTTTTATTAAACTAATTGGCTTTATAAAATTCACCTATCACCATTCGAAACATACACGATAAATATCGAATTAAAAACTAAAACTAAACTTATCATCCACTGAAAACTTCAAGATAATGCAAAAAATATATATAATATGAATTTTAGCTACAAGCTACAGCACTTTTCAACATTCGTCACCATGAGCGACCATGCCCTCTCTGTGACTTTCCGTGTCAAAACTCTCCCACCAGTCCGCGTCGCGTCACCTCCCTTTCCTTAACATTGACCTGGAGCACAGTGGCAGGCCTGAACAGTGACGGCGCGTTTTCATATTACTCCGTGATATTTATAGTCGTAATCGCACTCGGGATTTAGCCAGAAAAACATCGAATAAAATAAAATTTCAGGAAAACGCACGCTGCCCGAATTTAACGAGTATCTAATCCCGGACCGTCGATGTATTTTCGTAACATTACTTTACATTCTTCCATGAAGACAAGTCTTCAATGTCAGCTATTTTATTATAAATTATATTTCTTAGGTTTGCTTGCTGAAAGAAACAACTATTTATTTAATCTAATTCATTCACCTTCTGATCAACTGTCAAGTAATGCAATCTGACGGATAAAAACGCAATCTATACCTAATCCCATTCAATTGTTATATTAGGTAGTCTTGTTGACCGTTACCATACTTGAATCAAATCGAAGCCGCAGCAATGACATCAACTAGTCATTTTCATAACAACCTATCAAATTTTCTCCGTGCATGCGCACTGGTCCTGGTAGGGCGCTTCAACCAATAGGAAGGCTGGATTACCAGCCGGTGTTTGTTTACAATTTAGGTTATTTAATGTCATTACTGCTGCTTGCATTTGATTCAACTATAGAAAGTTTCTCAGAAGATGAATAATTCGGGTCTAATTGTAAATAATAATAACGTTTTTATAATTAATTTTAGGCCATCTTCAACATTGAACGCAAACTTGACAGCGACATACCAGGAGGCCGAGGGACAAGCGACGAAAAAAGGAAAATGCAAAAAGTTTCGCAAAGTGTGCAATTTCAGCATTTTAAAACTGTTTACTTGGGTCGGTGATGTACTTAACAAATATGGCTTTTCAATTAAGGATATATTAAAATTGAAATGAAAACAAATTATTTAATGTGGAAGGAAAAAGCAGAAACATGGCATTTTTTTTGCAAAATAATTATTGATCATTAAAAAAATGTCCTGCTTCGTGACTATGTTGATTTTTTCAAAAATATTATCTGAGTAGGAGCAAAAAATGCACTATGTTCAAAAGCACTTATTACTAATTGCATCCAATTGACCCAACCAATTTAAAATTAAACCAGATGCCAGTTTTATTGGACTCTAGTTTATAAATGTTTTAATGAACAAAATAAAAAAGTTATGTCCATAGATTTCATAAATAAATAGCAAATAAAAATCAGTCCCTTGTACAAATTTTATTGTGTAGTTTGATTACTGAATTAAAGAATAATATATGACCGCCTCGCATTTTCATTTTAGCCTTAAATTGGAAAATATTGGGGCTAAATATTTGCGAATACTTGGTTCTGTATTTTCAAATTGAAAACACAACAAAAAATATAATCAATTATTACTATTCCCTTATAAAACAATATAGAAGAATGCAAAGTTGTTGATGCAAGTCGGGAAACTGATTAAAAAAACACATTAAACCAAAAGGTACTAAATAGGCACATTCAAAATGAACATAAGTTAATACTTAAGACGCAGGTATATCTATATATACATGGACCATCACCAATCAAAAAACTAAATTATAGCGATTGATCCTCTTTTGTGCGTTTGTTTATTTCTGTTTTTTTTTTTTCACCTTATTTCTTTATCACGTTAATCATTTTCCCTGACGTTTCACAACTCGCTCCGCTTTACAGGGTGTATCAGGTACATATGAGTACAAATATTTTAACATGAGATAATATGGCCCATTTCAAGCTAAAACTTCTCCATCAACCATGGGTCAATTGTTAGTATTTTCGGAGTTATCGCAGAATTTGAATTTAGAAAAATGTTGACAACGTGACAACATCGTACAGGTATTATCTCTGCCAGAATATAAATGTAAATAAAACTGGTAAACTTGAAGTGTTTTTTTTTTTTTGCAAGGAGTTTATTTATTTTCATCCGTTTACGTTTCGGTTTGTTGCATTTTTATCACTTTTCTAGTAAAAATAAAAAATGTGCTGCTTTATTAAGTTGTGAATTGGACATTTTTGCACTAAACATTCAAGAGGAAAATTAAATAACACTTACCCAGCTACTTGCCAAATCCTCATTATGAAAATATTAATTTTTGTTAAATGGTTCTCAAAAAACTCAACACGCAAGTTTTGCATACTCACACTTCCCGTATCACGCAATCTTTGTTAAACTGGCACAATGTTCTTTCATCAGGTGGGTGCTCTTGAGAAAACCTTCCCTTTAAATTTTGGCGGCTAAATGGGGATTTTGCAACGATTCTGCCTAAACAAGTATCTGCATATTCGACGTTTGCAAACATTTTATTTTCAAAAAAGAATGAATCACGCGTTTTTCCAATGCTTCAACTACCTGACATAAGACAATTCAAGCGTGTGTATTGTGCTATGTTGCTAGATGTTTAGATACCGATTTACGAGTCAAATTTTCATGTTTTTTTTTTTCAATTTTTTATTATTGTTGTTGACTAAAACTAAAAATGCATATTCACTTAATAATTGAATGAAGTAATTCTTTTTATCCCATTTTGACGTTTAAAAATGACATTATTGAACGCATAACAATGAAGGTAAGTAGACGTTTATCACCTCAGTGATTTAAAAACATTTTAACTCACTCTCGGCATTTTAAGTCACTCTGCCCAACTAAAAATCTGAAACCTCAGTGATTTAAAATATTTTAAACTCACTCCCGGCATTTTTCCTTCTACTTTATTTTTAAAATTTTCACAAAATGGGATAAAATTTTGTATACATCACGTGAGCTAAAATGTTTATTCATTCGAAGAAAATTAACCCACTCGCTAGGGCTCGTGGGTTAAACTTTCTTCTCATGCATTTAACTCACTTGGTGTATAAATACCTATTACATCTTATAATGATTGAAATTTTCTTTATCTTTCAAATATTCGTAAAAAAATGTCAAAACTTCAAAGGCCTTTTTCTTAAAAATGGTTAAGTTTGGACCCCATGTATTATATATACTTTTTTTGTTCAAAATGGGCCATATTCCCACGTGTTAAAATTTTTGTAGTCAAACCTGATACACCCTGCATATGTGAGCAATGATTCACAGCCAGTCATTTTGATCACAGATCAAAGATCCAGTTTCACAATATAAGTCTTAGGTTTTTCAGATATCACATTTACATCCATCCAGATCTATCTTGCTTTTGGACTCGTACACCCCCATCTTTATGTAGAACAGGTAGAGGTGTATAAAAAATTTGAGTTTTGCTTTGCTGGTTATATGTACCTATATGTGATAAAGTGTTTTTACAAAATCTGTTAAATCCAGGCAAAAAACTAATAATTTTCCTAACAAATAACAATTCAGCTGGGGATGGAATGTCACACACATCAATCGATGTGTTTCTATATTCAAGCAGACATAAATATGGATCTTTATTATCAAACTCCGCTTTTTTCATCAAATTTTTCTGTTTGTATGCACCGTTCAACCATACCGTTCGCATCAAAACATTCTGCCACCCAATATGCCATAGCCCGGAAACCTGACCAATCAAATTCGATGGCTATTTTGGATGGCTTAATGTTACTACATGCGCTGCATCAGGGGTCAGAATGTCGGGACGATGATGGAGCTATTTAAAGGGTCAGAATGTTATTTCATGGGCAAGATTCGGGGTCAAAATGTAACAGGCGATAGAGCATTTGTATTAAATTTAACAAACAATGTTTGATGTTAAAAAATCTATGACTGTATTTTGTACGTGTTAAGCAATTCAGAAACTAATATGTTCCTTGTGTTCCCTATGGATTTTTTTCATGAATATATTGATTAAATTGTTAGTTTTTTGATTGAAACGGAGGAACTAAGAAATATATCCATTTTGGATATAAGGGGTTACTAAATTTAGATTTAGCAAAATCTGAATACCTAATGATTAAAAATTTAAGGTCTAAATTTCTCAAAGACTACACGTTTTTGTATAATTTCCTTCCCCTTTTCAATTTTCTGAATAAGGTTGTATTTATAGTTACTCTTTGTTACTAAAATTTAAATATATCACGTAATCAGTAAAAACGTTTAACAATGATTTAGTGCATCGCAGGATGATTTACTGCCAACAAATACAATATCTTTGGAGAATGGCAAATTATGTGCTCTTTGCATTATTTTTGGGTAGTTTTATCACATTTATCCCCATCATGAATTAATATTGAAATGTCTTCGCATAAATTTCAATAGAGCAATGAGCGTGAAATAAACAAAATATGGGCCACTTCTAACAGACAAGTGCAACAGGCCGTCCAGGCATTCTGCCCCTGATCTAGCCCATGTTGTAACATTATGCCGCTCAAAATAGCCACATCGAATTTGATAGGTCAGATTTCCGGGATATGGCTAGATTTGGCGGCAGATTGTTTTAATGCATACCGTTCGATTGAGCGTATGTTGGACCGACGTCTCTGTATAGATACTACAAATTTGTTGAACTCATCTGAGCTGTTGTATCTAGTGCCATTATCTGACCTTATAATTTCAAGTATACCATCGCGTGCAAACATTGATTGCAGCAAGTTATTTGTGTGTTCATTATCTAGTTTTTCTAAATTACCAGTTTCAATCAATTTGGAATAATAGCCAATTACAATTAAATTTTTTTTTCTGCTAATATAACAGACATCCGCTCCCACTGCTTCCCACGCATTACCAGTTAATTCTGATTGAATTAAAAGCACTTCTGAATTCGAATTTCTAAAATATAAATAAGTTTCACAGTTAGTAAGAAAATGTTCTACTCCTTTATTTATATTTAGCGAGAGTAAACATTAACGAGCCCTTAACTGACATTTTGTTATGCCTAAATGAATACAGTGAATAATTTTAAGCATTTTTTTTCTTAAAACATCATGAAAAATAATAATTTTGTTAACTTTAAATGAAGCGTCATTCAGAGTTATTATTTCATCGCTATTATCCCAATATTTTTGTAACTCATCAGGCCAAGCTTCTTTCACTAATAGGAATGTTCACAAAATAAAAAAAATCCGTTTAACATCATCAAATTATTAAGCATCGTTTCATAAGTAAATCTACAAAATGTTACGAAAATCAGAAAATTCTTTCTATGAGAAAAACGGAGACGAAATATTGATATTCGTCACAGCCTCCTATAGTTAACAAGCCATGTAATTGGAAATGACGGCAACGTCGCGTATGGTGCTATTTTGTTATTGGGTTATGTGTTTCTGTGTATTGCTTTCATTGTGTATTGTTGCAATTTAGTATTTTTATGGGCATTATTGACGAAAAAGTGGATAGAAACACACCAATATATTGCCCATATTTAGTTGATACCTGTTCCTTTGTGCTTTGATTGCAAATTTTTAGCAAATGGTTACAGGAGCAAAAATGAAGGTAAGGTAAGGTAAAACAATAATAACAATATTAATATTTGTCTGCAAGAGCATAGGTCTCGATATATTACCTAAGATATTTAAACTTGTTCCAGATGCCATGAAACTACTGTGTTCCTGGGTGCAAATCGAACTATTAGGAGTTCCTTAAAAACTGAAGAAATGCAAACATTTTTATTTCCAAAAAAATTCTGAAGTGCAAAAAATGTGGATGAAAGCATTACACCAAGATAATTATACCCGAGATTATACAATAACGAAAAATTCTGTGGTGTGTTGTAAACATTTTGAAGAAACCGAAATAATTAGATTTGAAACAAACAAGGATAAAGGCGTAGTTCGAGAGTTCAAACTAAAACGTCCAACTCTTAAAAGTAGGTACGTCTTATTTTCGAAAATCAGCTCAAGTATTTGAATGGACTTGCCTTCCGAAAACATCCCGAAGAAAGAAAAAGTTAGATTTTCAAAAGACATACTGAAACATAGGCCTATAACACTTTAGACTCTAGAAATATATTCATTTAAATCAATTATTTACTGTTCTTATTTACACAAATAGTTAAATTATTCATTGAATTACTGTTTTTGGCCCTTTAGTACAATAAATTATGTATTTTTTGTGATTCATATTAATAAAATAAAAAATATATATTTCTACAAACAAACACCACCAGTACCACTTGGCGGTAAGATTGCGGTGTTGCCTTTTTAACTTCATGGCTTGTTAAATGTAGGGGGCTGTGTATTCGTTGAAACGCACGAAACGCTGTCTGACGTCTCAATGCGTAATGAGTTAGCACGCGCAA